TAAATTCATGGGCAATAAGAGAAAGCTTTACAGCTTTATGGGTCTTTACTAAATTTCTATTTTCAGGTTCGTGTTAACCTTCCTAATGGAGATATGGTGGGACATACTGGTGATATAGAGGCTACCGTTGTGGCTTGCGAGGCTGCTGACAAAGCAGTTAAGGTAATGGGTTTTAATATATGTAATCTGACTTTTCCTTTCTTTATTTTTTCATGAACTTGATAAAGTTCCATTAACTGGTGCAGTCATGGTTGACAGAGTAATAACTGAAAACCTCCTTAGTTTTGATCTTTGAATATCCTTAATAGAAGGACTTAATGATGTACATGACATGACATGTGAAACATAATTGAAACTTTGCATACTTGCTTAAGTGGCTTATTTTGTAGCTGATATAATTGCTGGTTTTTTCTCCCTTAAGACATTGTAAATGTTAACTAGATCTTGGAAGTTACCATTTTGCATCTCTAGTAAAGTTTTCAAGTGTTTTCTCACCATACGTAGCCACATTTGAGACACAGAAATACGCTGTTGGCGTGATATTGTCTCTTATTTGACGAAATCTTTCCATTTTGTAATTCGGGTCTCAAAATGTCAGTAGCTTGTGTTTGATACCATCAATTTGTTTTTTGTGTATCAATGCAATCACTTTTGTTGCAATTAAGAGTTGTATCAATGCAATCACTTTTGTTGCAATTAAGAGTTTATGCTTTAATTTGTATATATGGCGGAGTTTATGTGCATCGAACAATTGCAATTATTGTGATCAACACAGAGTTTAACATTAATTCTGAATCTGAAAATGTTCTTCTCTTTAACCTTTAGAACATCTTCTTTTTACACAGATGATTCTAGATGCCATAGAAGAAGTGGGTGGGATCTATGTTGTCACTGCTGATCATGGAAATGCTGAAGACATGGTAAAGAGAGACAAATCTGGGAAACCTCAGCTTGACAAATCGGGGAACATTCAGATTCTCACATCCCATACTCTTCAACCAGTAAGTACATCAAGCTGCGAAAATCAGCAGCTAGAAGTATTTCTTTAAACAGTTATTACAAGCTTACATAGGAAAATGAGAGATATCAGGGGGTTTTGCCAGTATAACAGACAATTGTTTGATGTGTGTGATTTTGCCTTTGTTTTTACATGATTATCTTTTTATTAGCATGTTATTTACACTCTTTGATCTGTACAAAATTATATGGTACGCTATAGTTATCCCTCATGCGTTCCAATATGCTTGAGATTGGTGCTCTAACAGAGTTGTGATCATATATCCTAAGACGTAATTTTTTTACATAATATCCCATGAGCCTCCAGCATTAGACTAATCATGTAGGTTGTGTTTGTAGGGATACAGACTTTTAAGGTCTGGCACGAAAAGATGATGTTATTAACATCTGAGATATCGAGATATAATAGTTAGTTCAGTTATAAAAGTATATAGTAAGTGCTAACATGTTCGGTTCGTGTGTGGTTCATTACACACGTATTTTTTTTAGATGTTATGAAGTGAAAAGAGAGCTAATCGATTAGTTTAACTTGAGATGAACATGGGAAATATTTTCCATTGGTTAAAATATTTGAAGACTATTCCCTATTGTCATACAATTGATCAGAATCACTTGTGTCTGTAATTTTCGTTTTTTATGAAAATGGCATTAGGTGCAAGGAAGTTCATATCAATGACCACAACAAAATTAAATTGAGTTAATGCTTGATTGTTGTTGTAGTAGACCCCCGAAACATTACTTGTTAAAGAATCTTCATGCATTTTTTAGGACTTCTTCGTTTTGCTTCCATCATTAGAAAACCCCCATTTTGCTTATGTATGTTGTTCAGTACATACGTTTATGTGAAGTTTTTAACATCATGTATAATTTTTTCAGGTTCCGATTGCCATTGGAGGCCCCGGACTTGCACCAGGAGTCAGATTCCGCAAAGATGTACCAAACGGTGGTCTTGCCAATGTTGCTGCAACCATCATGAACCTCCATGGTATTGAGGCGCCCAGTGACTACGAAACCACCCTCATTGAAGTAGTCGACAACTGATTAAGTTGCGTGCTGCAATGCAAGCTATTGTGGATTTCTCCACATTTAGATTTTGTTGATTATATTACCTATAGTACCCATCGCATAAATGCTTCAGAGTGAGATCTGAATCACATCCTTCTGAATTTTATAGGAGGAGATTATCATTTTCGGGAGATGCACTGTAATGTTGCAGTTCACTGAAATATTTACCCTTACCATGAAACTTTTTGTACCGTGTGAGAATTTTATGTTTTGTGATGGTTCCTTGTACTTCTTTACATGCTACTGCTGAAAATAATGAAATTAATAATTGGAACTCTTTGCTTAGATTATTTAGTTTATTAACTTTTACGGGAGAATTTTCAAGTGCTGGTGCTTATTCCTCTAGTGTGGATGTGATGGCCTCAGAATTATGTTGTGACGAGTTGTTGTAGCAAATAATTTGAGTCGGAGTTATTCGCTTCTTACGCAAGAAAGCACTATGTTATATAGTTTTAGCGTGTCTTGTGACATCATTAGACACCCCGTAGCCCCGTCAAAATCCTCACATCATGTGATCTGATTGAGAAAAAAGAAAAAAAAAACGAATGTTTTAAAAGATTCCAGATTTAAAACCCAGTACGATCTCTTTTCAAACAATTAAAAAAAAGGTCTGTTTTTGCAATTAAAAAACAACGCTGCACACGTTTAAATAACAAAATCAACATCATATACATATAGAGAGAGAGAGACTAATGAGTATCATTGTCAAAGAGAGGATTTTACTCCTTGATTCCTATGTGCCATAATCCCTATCAAGGTAAATTCTCTCTCCTACTTTATTCTTATGGTGGGGATTGTTGTACATAAGAGTCAACG